AGCAGGTTTCTGTCCTGTGCTCAGTGCTGTTCAACATCTTTATTAATGACTTGGATGAAAGTTGAGGGGACATGGTTATCAAGTTTGCAGAGGACACCAAATTAGGAAGGATAGCTAAAACTCCAGAAAACAGGATCAAAATTCAAAATGACTTCAACAGAATAGAGAGCTGGACCAAAACTAACAAAAAGAATGTCAACTAGGAGTAATGTAAGTTACTACACTTAGGCAGAAAAAAAATGAAATGCACAGATACAGGATGGCTGTCATAAGGAAAAGGGAGCAACCTTGTTTTTCTTCTGCTCTGGAGACTACAACTTGGAGCAATGGGTTCAAATTACAAGAAAGGAGATTCCACTTGAACATTAGGAAGAACTTCCTGACTGTAAGAGTTGTTCAAAAGTGGAACTCTCTGCCTCAGAGTGTGTTTGAAGCTTCTTCTTTGGAAGCTTTTAAACAGAGGCTGGATGGCCATCTGACGAGGGTGCTTTGATTGTTCCTTTCCTGGCAGGGGGTTCGACTAGATGGCCAACTCTATGATTCTGATTTCTGTTCAGGACTGATGGAACAAAGAGTAATCTAGAAGACTACAACTTTCCTTCCATTTCATTTTTTCCCCTGAAAAGCAATACCAGTAGTCATTAGAGCAAAATGAATATAATGCAAGGGTATAAGGGCAATTTTTGTACTAATAAAAGACAGAAAGAATCTGAGGGATAAAATTTTCTACTGCTAACTAATAATAGATTTGCTGTGTAATGTCACACACTAAAGGAGCAGCTATATGTTTACATGTGAAATTTTGAGAAGCATATTAAGAACTAACATATTTATTGTGGCATATTCTTCCATGGACAACATGTAAAACAGTCGTGGTTATGAGATAGCAATGAGTACAGAAAGTCCAATGGTTATTCAGTTAAAGGTTAATAGTCACTTGGGGTTAAATGGAATTGGATAAAATGGAAATAACAAGATCAACGTGAGAACCCATGAACATAAATCATTAGATTTACTCTAGCGGAGGAAGTGTCTTAACTTTCTATATTTAAGAGCCGCTACTAGACAGAGTGCAGTGGTCTGCCATTTTGGATACCCTTGGCAATGTAAAAAATACTGTTATATACTCACCACGAGCCTATAGATTCTTGTTTGAAATGATACTGTGTCTAAGACATTGGGTAAGTTAAAGCAATCGTTCCTTTCCCTCAGCTCTGAACTGGGAAAAGGTTACTCCCTAGTAATTTTGCTGCAAAAAGAGCCATATCTTTGATCCCTATCAATTGGATATATATCATCTGTGCAAATATACAAGACTTTCAAATATAGAAAGGTGGACAGGCTTGTACAGGAGACACCAGCTTTTCTAATATCTTGTTCCTAAACCATTTAGGTTTTAAAGGTCAGAATCAGAGCTGAAAACTGCACTCAAAAATTGGAATAAATGCAGCAGTAGCAACAAAAGCACTCCTGTTGACACCAGACTGCTGCAATCTGAACCAGTTTTACTTTCTGAATGCTCTCCAAAGGCATTTTACATAGACCCGTGGTTCTTAACCTGTGGGTCCCCAGGTGTTTGGCCTTCAACTCCCAGAAATCCTAAAAGCTGGTAAACTGGCTGGGATTTCTGGGAGTTGTAGGCCAAAACACCTGGGAACTCACAGATTGAGAACCACTGACATAGACTGTATCAAAGTAACCCAGATGTGTTATAATTAATGCAGTTATTGTTGGGTGTATTATCAATTATTTAAAAATGAACATAGATTCCAAAAGACTTTGAACTGTGAAGCATCTTCCCTAATAATGGAGGAATAGAGAGTGATAAGAAATCTAAACTATGGTAGAACAAAAGTACTCTTAACCCCCCCTTCCAAATTTGTTTCCAATTATGCAGGGATCAACTGCTTCCCATAACAGCTAATTATTCCCACCATTTTCTCAACCAACTGACAGCAGTTATCAGCCAGGATGGGCAAGGACTGAGTATACATGTAGTTGACTTGAACTGTCCAAGAATGTTGTTGACATTCTCAGGGTACATAAATGGAAACATATCTAATTTAACTAGACAAGTTGGTGCCAAAGGTCCTTTTCAAACCTCAGCATCTAAGGTAGAATATCTGAAACTGAATTAATCTGAAATCATTTGCAGATGTATCACAGTGTAGTACCAGACACCATTTTTCACTAATGCTAATTTAGGTCAGGTACAATGACGGGATGGAGGTACAAAAGTTTATTTACCGTTCTCAGTATGCATAGTAAGATCTAACATGTCCATTTATGTTCATCCCATCGTTTCCTCCACTTTGCTCTGGTAGTCATCTCTGCATTTCATCAAAGCAGAGATGAATATCCATTGAAATGAATCTTGGGATATATCATGTCAGTCATCCAGACTGTTTCTTGACATAAAAGTAGAATTATCAGCTTTTATGCTATGAAAATCTCAAAGAGCCACAAAAAGCTATTAGTCTCCTTGGGCAGACCATCTTATTAGTCTCTTGGGTTAGCCCCCCCCCCCAAACATCTGTAAAGGTGTAATTGAGTCTAAAACCAACCAAATGGTAAGTGTCCATGTCAGTGGAACTACATTATTTTTGTCGAAGGCTTTCATGGCCGGAATCACTGGGGTGTTGTAGGGTTTTTTTGGGCTATATGGCCATGTTCTAGAAAAACATTATTTTTTCTACTTTCCAGATCAATGTTAGGTCATCTAGCAGGGTTAAAAAAGAGGCCAAAATGTGTCCAATTGAATTTGTTGGGCCAAAAATTATCTTAAGACAGGGTCATATTTAGGTCCCACATATGCAAGGAAACAAGATATAAATTAGATAATCAGATAGAAAGACAGACAGCCTGAACATCTCCTAAGAAGCAGGCCTTGAAAATGGACACCATGTCCTATGATCAGCAACTTTGGGAGCTGTGTATGTTTAGCTTGGAGGTTAAGAAGCGGCATGAAGTTCAAAATGAAGTTCAACAGTGACAAATGCAAGATACTCCACTTTGGCAGAAAAAATGAAATGCAAAGATACAGAATGGGGGGACGATGCCTGGCTCGAGAGCAGTACGTGTGAAAAAGATCTTGGAGTCCTCGTGGACAACAAGTTAAACATGACCCAACAATGTGATGTGGCGGCAAAAAAAGCCAATGGGATTTTGGCCTGCATCAATAGGAGCATAGTGTCTAGATCTAAGGAAGTAATGCTACCCCTCTATTCTGCTTTGGTTAGACCACATCTGGAATATTGTGTCCAGTTCTGGGCACCACAATTCAAGAGAGATATTGACAAGCTGGAATGTGTCCAGAGGAGGGCGACTAAAATGATCAAGGGTCTGGAGAACAAGCCCTAGGAGGAGCGGCTTAAGGAGCTGGGCATGTTTAGCCTGAAGAAGAGAAGGCTGAGAGGAGATATGATAGCCATGTATAAATATGTGAGAGGAAGCCACAGGGAGGAGGGAGCAAGCTTGTTTTCTGCTTCCTTGGAGACTAGGACGCGGAACAATGGCTTCAAACTACAAGAGAGGAGATTCCATCTGAACATTAGGAAGAACTTCCTGACTGTGAGAGCCATTCAGCAGTGGAACTCTCTGCCCCGGAGTGTGGTGGAGGCTCCTTCTTTGGAAGCTTTTAAGCAGAGGCTGGATGGCCATCTGTCAGGGGTGATTTGAATGCAATATTCTTGCTTCTTGGCAGAATGGGGTTGGACTGGATGGCCCATGAGGTCTCTTCCAACTCTTTGATTCTATGATTCTATTATGATAGCTGTGTTTAAATATTTGAAATGATGTCATATTGAAGACGGAGCGAGCTAGTTTTGTGCTGCCCAAAGACTAGGGCATGGAGCAATGGATTCAAATTACAAGAAAAGAGATTCCATCTAAACATTAGGGAAAAAAACTTTCTGCAGTAAGAGCTGTTTGAAAGTGGAATACCTTGCCTTAGAGTGTGGTGGAGTCTTCTTCTCTGGAGGTTTTAAAACAGAAACTGGGGAGTGTTTTGAGTGCATGGCAGTGAGTTGGACTGGGGCGGCCCTGATGCTCTCCTCTAACCTATTATTCTGTGATACTGAGGTTCACAGCACAAGTTGCTTGAGGGGATTCCAATATCACCCTCAGCAATAACTCATAGAGGGAACCACATATGTAGTGGTGTGGACTGTACACCCACAGAATCCCAGACACTCAGGGGAAGCTGGATGGAACACCTCTATCAATATTGTATAATACATGGGGACTATGGTTCATCAGCTTTTATGGGACTGCAGTGCCTATTAAACCTAGCCAGCATAGCTAGTAATAAGAGAGGATAAAAGTTGCAATCTAGTCATATTCCTCAGCCATGACCTATATCAGTTGGAAGAGGCTCATATACTTCCATGTGTATGGTCTTTTAGTCAATTTGTTTGCCAATTCTGCTGTGTTTCTGCACCATGTCCAGCTGTTTACATGTGTCTAAGAAGGGGCAGCCTGGCTGATTTGAAGATGGCTTAGCTGTTACAAATGTATTTGCAGTAGAAAATTCTGTCTGGGAAGGCGGGGCTGCTGTTTTGCAAAGATGGCTTTTTACTGTAGAAGCCACAGTTGGAGGGTGGGGCATGACAGACCCCATCTGTCCCTGATTTGAAAGATAATAATAAATACCATTTGAAGAGGATATAGTTGATATTTTTAAAAATTAAAAACATTTTCTCTGTGTATTCATTCTACTCCAATAATCATGTCTTTTTATCCCTAATGTAAGAACGTCACAAATCATCATGCCAAATGGCTGACAGCAGCCTTTAGTAATGCATAATGCAGACTGAGATACACCTCCTTTTGCTACCCCCTCCCCCATAGAATTCAGCTGGCTGGGACAGGCTGAGCTCAGATTATGCTGCATGTTTTCCTCACTGAAGTCCCCTCTTAGAGTGGCGTTGTCCGTCCTTTGCTTAATGCAGTTCTCCTAATGCAGCCTCACGTGGGCTTTAAAAAAAACAAACCAAATTGCACAATGAAAACCTGAAAACACCCAGCCCTTTCCCCTTTCTCATCCCCTCTCCTTCCAGCTCACTCAACCATGCATTCACCAGGGAAGTCGCTACCTGCAGACTGAACAGACTGCAGCTAGTCTGCTGTGAAGACATTTATTCCTCTTTATTCTTTATCTTTTGGAGAGCTTTGGGTTAAAGTAGGGAAAGAATCACAGCATAAAAAAGCAAGAAAAGGGACTAGAGTGGTGGGATGTGAAGGGAATGTAGCATGTCATGTGCTTTAGCAAAGGCAGTTGCAGCAGCAAGTCATTAAGTCAGACTGCACCATTTTCTTCTCACCCTGTAATGAGGTGATGCTGGCAGCTGCAAGGAGCTGCCCACCCCCAGCGACCCACCCACCCACCTACTTTCAGCAGCTGTACAGAGGTGGTTCCCTACTGGCTCTCGATCCTAAAGACACAGCCCTTCTGGAGGAATCTCAACCGACCTTTCTCAGTGTGGTGAAATTGGCTCCTAGGCGGGATTTTCCTTTAGCTGTCACAGCCTGCTGTCAGTGAGGCTTCTGCTCCGGTAGCTGTTTGTGCTGCGGTGTACATGTCCCTCCCTACATTTGTGTGTCTCTGTGGAGAGCAAGAGAGATTCTTAAATCTAGACATGCCTGTGTTCTGCTGAATTGTGGATGCTGCAGAGGCTGGAGTGGACCTGTGACCTATTGCAACGTGCTGGAGGAGGAAGAGGGAGGGGAAAAGGATTGCACTGTGAATTCCTGGCTTCGAGCATCATTTCATCAGTGCCCTTCTGAGATCAACAAATTCTTCTGGATATCTGGGAGTACTAGAAAGTGAATCCTCTAAGCAGGTGTCCTCTTTGCCAAAATGGCTCATGCAGCTGCTTCTATTAAAAAAGTCCGTGAAGCTGAAGTTGATGAAAAGGAGAAGGAGAAAGAGAGGGAGAGGGAGAAGAAAAGGCAGAGGAGAATCTCTAGGGAAAATCGGAAACGCAAGGTATGAACAAAACACCCCACCTTTCTTCTCCCCCTTCCTCCCTGTACAGGACTTAGACACAGGTGTCCACTCTGCAAGATAGGCAGCACTGACTCCCTTTCCTCTTTCCACCTCACAATTTGCATTTGAATTTCCCTACATGAAAGGCATACCTTACTATAATGAGAACAAATATACTAATCCCTAGCCACATGGGTGCAAACAGATGAAGATGGCCAGTGGCACTCATAGTGCTTTTGCTTTATCTTCAAACAACTAGGCTCTTTTAATCACCCAGAGCCAAATTTATAGGAGCTGCAAAGAGTGTTGTGATTTTGTGGTGTGCTTAATCAAGAGGAGATTCTGAGATATAAATTCCCATTCTCCCTGTTTCTATTCTTTGCTGTCAAATCGTTAGCATGTAGCTTTATATCAATTATAAAATCCCTAAACATATTTTTGTTCTACTGCTTGCAGTGAAGATACTAGTGTAGTCTTCAGGGCTACAGGTTTTGCTCTTTGATCCTATATGCTCCACTCCTAATTCATCTCACTGTCTCAACATGTCTATATTCCTTGTTCCATTTGTTGCAGAATGATGCTTGGGATGTTGTCATTTTGTCTTTTGATTAACCTAGGTCGAAAATAGAAGTCTTCTGTTTGGTTTTCATGCTTTTAAACATTCTTCATTCATATCAGAAGCTTTCATGATATTGTTTGCTTCTGTGTCTGTGAAATGATTAGAAAATAGTGGTTATTGGTTTGCTTTTTAAAGTCAACCCTTCCCCCCAAATGCTAAAAGTTACTTGTTTTTTTAGATATGCTGTAATTTCAAAAGACAGATGTGTTCCTATTTTATATAGGGAGAGGCCATAGAAATAGTGTTGCATGTTTTGGGATATAATCTCCACATCTCTATGTTGAGATTATATTCTTAACAACTCACAATTAGTCTCCTATTTAGAGCCTCTTTACACAGACATTTTGGTTCTTAAGTATAGAGTTCATAGGCAAATGCCATAGAGGTTAAAATGTATATAAGTAATGCAACAGCTTTCCTTCTTTGTAAACAAGTTGAGGATCCACAGTAAACAGAGCTTTTCCAACAAATAACTGAATCGACATATGTGTAATTTTCATATTTAATGTATTGTCGGACACTTTCATAGCAGGAATCACTGGGTTGTTATGTGTTTTCCAGGCTGTATGGCCAAGTTCCAGAAGCATTCTCTCCTGACGTTTCACCTGCATCTGTGGCAGTCATCCTCAGAGGTTGTGAGGCCTGCATTTATGGCAGGCATCCTCAGAGGTTGTGAGACCTCACAACCTCTGAGGATGCTTGCTATAGATGTAAGTGAAACATCAGGAGGCAACCCAGTTTCATATTTACTGTTTGTTTGCAATGCAAAGTAAAGTATACTTCATAGGTGAAGCAGTCACTGATTAATTATATGTATTTTGGAAATGCAAAATGCTTCCTTATTTTGCTGTATTCTAGTTTATCTCTTGATTATCTTATGTTTACCTGCTGGGTTGTCCCCCAATAGCCATTTTGAGCTTTTCTTTTATTTCAAGCATGCTACATACATATTCTTTCCTATGCCCTATGTGTCATTACAATTGTGAAATGACTATAGGGCCTAGTCAGGCTCCATTTTAGTTTACAGATACATTTAGAACATCACCAGAATGATTATTCCTTCTCTTCCACCCCACCCTTCAGTGCCTCAGTATATTTCCTGAATATGTCTGAATTCTACTCCTTGCTATTGTAGAATAAATTATTCAGGTAGAATTCATTACAATATTTCTCTCTTTTTAAATTGCCCCTTTGTTGAGCTGCTGGATTCCTATGGGATGCCTGATGTGATCTGTCTGACTTCTCAAAGGCTTTGTTTGCTGCATTCATTAAGTTGCATTATAATTCTCTTTATTAGAACACAAATGCCATTTCTAATATAGGCAGTACTGGGATGCATAGTTGCTGTAGGCAGATTGTGATTACTGCCTAATCCCCTAAGTGGGACACTATAGCATAAAACCAAATCTTTGACTATACATTTGATATACTCTTTTAAAATATGCAAACATATGCTGCTGTGACATAAACAAAATCTATAAACAGTAGTCAAATCTATATGTATGTATACCTGGCAAAGAGAAAAGTAGATTGTATCGGCTTCATTTTGAAGAGCTGGTTTTTTTGGGGTAGTTGTTGTTTTAAATCTGGTCTAAACCGTGATGCCAGGGCTCTTTAATTAAAGTTGGATATAATTAAAATCTGTCCCTTCTGGCATCTCTTTTACCCAGACTGCTGCATGGCCTTGATTGAAACTAGGCAGACTTAGATCAGTCCACATGTTAGTAATATGTTGGCCATAGAGGATGGGAGAGATCAGGATGTTCCAGTATCAGATGGAATAATAGGTCATTGCTCAGACTATACAAGGAAACTACTATGCTTCTGTTTGCTTTGTTCCCTTTAATATTCAGCCAGCAGCTTTACTGTGTCTGCCTTTTACTGCGGCTGCACACTCACTGTTACATAAATAGCCACCTCAGCTGAACACAAAACTTCCCTTTCAAATGGGGTGGGTGTGGTTTAAGTTTGTTATCCTTGCCTTTCTCATGAAAGCAAACATTAATGAAATTTCATAATTTGCATGCACATTTCTGAATGTGCCTGTGCCTAGAAAGTCACCTGTCAATTCACAGCAATCCCATGAATTGCATAGGGTAGGCAAGGAATGCTCAGTTGTGATTTTTTATCATTTCCTCCCTTTGATGTATTGATATTATTTGATGATCTTTCATCCAAGTACTAATCTTGGCATGACCCTGCTTAGCTTTCCAAGAACAGAACAGATCTTCTGTCATCAGGATATTTGGGCCCTGTTACAATTCTAACATGAAGCAACTGGAACCATCCAAATTGAATTTTCCTTGGTTGCCCCAACCCTGTTGATACCAACTGGTACCACCAAATAATTCATAACTAGAAAGACAAGACTCTTTCTCCTCCAAGGGTGCCTTTTGTTTTGTGGTGCTCAGCATAATGCATGTCTTTTTAAAACTATTTTAACCACATTTCTAAATATATATGGTAAAAATGAAACAAGACTAAGCGGAATATCTATAACTTCATATATGTATATAGTAAGCCAGAGGTAAAAAAAAACTGTGACCTTCCAGAGTTCGTTGAACTTCAGACTGCATTGACCCCGATTAGTATTGTAAATAATCACAGATTAGGAACTGTAACATAACATTGACTAGCAAAGATAATGTGGAAAACCTAGGAAAGTATGGTTAGAAAATGGAATGGTCTCAGATTATTCTATGAACAAATGGATTCTGCACAGAAAATTAGACTTGTTAGACCTTTTCATTGGCATGCTGATTTTGGTAGATAAGTGGTTGGGTTTTTGTGTACAGAGGAACTCCAATCTGTCTGAACACCAAAAAGGGTCAGGTATATTTGGCAGAACCTGGAGAACTGCAAAAGTTCTTTTTGGATAGATGAAAACTACTAATCATATTGGCTAAGGTATTTTGGACTTTGTAATCCAAAACTGGAACATCTTCTAAGTTATGGAATTCATTTTTAATTTGAAACTTTTTTTGCAGTGGACATTTTATGTCATTTTATGGAAAGCAATAGAGGGAGGAATCTATTTATTTATTCATTTATTTACTGTATTTATACCCTACCCTTCTCAACCCCATAGGGGACTCAAGGTGGCTTACATATATGGGCAACAATTAGATGCCAAAAACACACATAATAAAAATATAAGCATTAAAACATAGTAAAACAATTAAAAACAATTATTTAAAATCATGCAATCTAGTATCGTAGTCTGTCGCCTTTCCAATTTGTCGTTTCACTATTTCATCTTTTTTTATTGCACTGATAGATTACTAATTGAATGCTTGGCTGAACATCCACATTTTTAGCCTTTTCCTAAAGGAAGGAGGGGGCTGATCAAATTTCACTTGGGAGGGAGTTCTGTAGCTGAGGGGCAACCACTTAAAAAGGCCCTATCTCTCATCCCTGCCAACTGCACCTGCGAAGGAGGTGGTATCAAGAGTAGGGCATCTCCAGAAACTATTAGAGTCCCCAGAATCTAGTGGCTTCATTAAGACTGATTAATTGTAGCATGAGCACTGGTAGATTTTAACACATTTGTTCAAATTCATTGATCCTCCCCCTCCTAACTTCCTGTTCCTGGTGAAACAGACCAACACAGATATCTCTTTGTTTCTTTAAACATCTTTAAAAATGAAAGGTAGCATTGAAGTATGAAAAAAATTCCAACATTTAACTCCCACCCCTTTTAAAAGAGAACTGGATATTTTTGTAGGGAATCTAATTTGATTTTTACTGGAATTCTGGTCCTAATGAAAAAATATATAATTATAAAGAATTAAATAATTGGTTTTACATATGAGGACTAAACAGTTTACCATCTTTCCATGCGTATTTTACTCCACATTATTTCAAGCATTTGTAATCTCAACAGTGCTTTTTAAAAGCTTTTTTTTCAAGGAGGAGGGAGTCATTTTATTGCTGCTGTTGATAAACACTGGGGAGTCACAAATCCCTGCCAATCTGCAGAGATCTGCTATTAGATCCGGATCTACCTTCTGCCCATCTCTGCCTTAAAAGTAGGCTTTGTGTGTGTAACAAACCCACTATTGTCCTGACATTCTGGGATTCTTGTTTGTTTGTCAGGACAAGTATTTCATTCATCTTGTGATTAAACCCAGGGTAAGTAGTTCATCTAATGGAACAAGGCATTTCCCCAGCCCACAACAAAATCTTCTAAATAATTTCTGCTGATAGTGAGACAAATGTGTTTGTATGGAGCTAGAACAGACAGGTCTTTTGTCTATGGAAATAGCCATCATGGAAGACCTCCCTAAAGATGGCCTTGACTTTCTCTCTTTACATGTCTTAACCTTCATTTTCCTTGGCATTGTATCAAAATTGCACCTTGTCTTTTCTCTATTATTAAATG